CCCTTTCCCCTCTCCCCTTTCCCCTTACCCTTTTCCCCTCTCCCCTCTCCCCTTTCCCCTTACCCTTTTCCCCTTTTCCCTTTCCCCTCCCTTGGCTCTCACCTTGGCACAGGTTCTGTCCTCCCTGACTTTTACTGGGCAGATTTTTGTGCCCTGCTGCTGAGGGGTCACTGGGTGAGGGAGGGTATTTATAGTGAGCTTTAGTGTACTTTGGCTGCCTGACAGGAGATTGGCACCTGTACAGGGCTGACTGCAAGGGAAGGTAGGCTGAAGTAACCTGTGTGGTGCTTCGTGAGGACACGGGATCTGGCTGGGCCAGGGGAATGATGCAGAAAGTATTTTAAATGTCAGTGAGGAGCAAAATTCTTTAGGCTTTTAATCTTAGTGAGTTTTCACTTGATTTAGTCAAACCTCAAACCCTTCCCAGATGCTAGTCACCAGTGAGACTTTACTGTGGAAACTTGAAGACTTGAGGGTCTGTCTGATTCACAGGGGGATCACTATCAGCCTAATGGGACCTTGGTTGAAACTTTAATTACAAGAAGACAGTAAAAAGCACTGTTTAAGAAAAAAAAAAATCCCCTTATCAACTTTTGTTGCTAGTCTAGTCAGGCTAAAAATTCTGCTTAATCTTAATGATTAGTAAGAGTTCTTCATTTCTGTTAAATAAATTACGAATTATTCAGAGGCAGTATATTAAAGGAGATCTAATCAAGATATCCAGAATATTGTGACATATTTAAATCCCATAATATTTAAAAAAAAACATTTTTGAGGGAGTAAAGATACTTTATATACAATTAGAGGCAGTATGATTAATAACCTTGGGCTCAGATTCCACTGCTTCCTTTGGGATTTGGGTTTTTTCCTATATCTCTGGAACCAAATATATGCCTTAATTACCAATCAAACAGTCAATGAAGGCAGAACTGAAGTGTGGATGTATCTACTTGGATTTGTATTAGCATTTCTTCTACAGATTTGGATTAGTGAGGCTGAGTGTATCTGCAGGTTTTGATTGCTGTCAGGGAGAATGTGAATCCACACCATGACTTAGATTTTCCAAACTAGCATATCTGTCTGTTTTGTGTTGTTTGGCATTTATGCCACATGCTAAACCTGCAAAAGGTAGGTGTTAGTGCAAGTAGTGTTAAATGCAGGAGCATTTAAAAGTTCTGAGAAGATTCAGGCCATTTAAAACCAGACAGTGTAGTTTCTCCCCAGCCCCATTTCTTTATGCAGGTATCAGGAGGAATAGGAGATTTTGATATCTGAGAAACAAACCCATTTGGTTTGAAAACATTCTGCTTGCAGATAATCTGCAAGGCTACAATACAAAATCTGAATTGAAGACAAGAAAAGAGGAGCCAGATACTTTTAAGTTTTGGACACTCACAGGTTGATACAAAGTCAGTGAGTGGACAATGCTCCTTAAATAGCTGTGTCAGTAATTCCTTTTACTGCAGAAACAGGTGAGTCAATGCCTTCAAATCCAGTGGGATTGGAAAGCTCAGGGTTTTGGAAGGTGTTACCTCAGAGTACTTTGCTTGCCAGGTATAGCTGCAAGGAAAGAGATTGAAGGTAGGGAGTGGGAAAATGTGTTTGAAGCCAGTCTTTATTGTAATTCTAGGTATTACTTATTTCTCATAGTGTAAAATGGTGGGAGAGAAATAGCTCCTTATGACAGAGGAGACAAGGGATAAATGGGGTGTACTATCAACCCTTTTACTTTCTGAATTTTTCTAAAATTGATTTTACTTCTGCACATATTCATTCTGGAGTGTTCATAAGCTGTATGTTTTGGTCAAGTATGGCAGGCTTAGCTTTTTATTCTGAATGGTCAATTTTGAAACTCACTGTGAAAGAGCTCCAAGGCAGAATGTTTTTGATCATTACCAGCTGCTGTGTGCTTTGTACACTGTAATATAAACCTGACATTCAATTTTGGTGGGATGATCTAATGAAGTTCTGAGATTTATTTTAGATAATAAAAATAAACCCCCTTTTTTCAAGGATAAACATGGATAAATTGTCAGATTCATAGCCCATCTCATATTATGTCTGCTGTGTTTTCCACAGTACCTAAAATGGTCACTGTATGCCTGATTTATAAAGACAGTATCACCTTGATGAGTACAGAGTGTGTCACTTGAGCAGGATTCATGTCTTTATGGATTTCAGTGGAGAAATATAATGTGAGACAATATAAATATTGCAGCTGCTTGCTCTATCACATTGTCTGTTTTATTAGGCAGGTTACCTGTGCTGTAGTGATGTTGGTTGGTTTTTGGTTGGTTGTTTTTTTATTTTGTTTTAGTTTGTGGTTTGTTTTGGTTTGTTTTTTTTTGTGGATTTTTGTTGTTGTTTTTTTCCTTTTTTTTTCTGGTATTAATAAGAAAACAATATTCTGGTAACACTGGTGGGGAAAACTCTTTTCCATTATATTTTACAATAGGTGAATTAAATTAATTTGAGATCAGTAAATAAAATGTAGTGTAAAACATTAAATATTATACCATTCCTGCATTTTCCTTCTCACCAGAAATAGGGAAAGATAAGTGGAACAATTCTAGATGAGACCCAAACCAGTCAGATAACAGGCAAATTGTAGGCCAAAGCTCCCAGCTACCTGCCTTAAGTGTTAGCATGCCTGGTTACTGCTAGGTGTAGCACTATTGTGAATGAATATTGTAGAAAGAGCTCAGCTGTTGACATTTTACACAACAGACAGCTAAAGCTGTCCTGTGGACTTCACTGGGGGGATCTGTATGTGGGCTGGCATCACCTTCACATGACTTCTTTGTGGCTCTATCATGGCACATAGGAAGGGTTATACTGACTGGATGCACACTTAAAACAAAGATAAAAGAACTTTTTCTTGTGATCATAATGTATGTTAGTCTGTATCTATGAATTTGAAGGTGAACTGTAGCCTGGAGCTTTCTTTTCTTGAGAAAGAAGCCACCTCCACTAGTGTTTAATGGATTGGGACAAGCTCTCAGTGCAGTTGCCTTGGGCCATTGCTTCCCATGCTGCTGTTCTCTCTGCTTGAACATAATCTTAACACCTTTTGCAGCTCATGACATGCTTATGTTTGGATATGTTGAGAGGAAATTTCCTATAATAAGTGAAAATAAATCTGGACAGAATTCCCAGATTGGAGAGTAACTGTGGAAAAGTTGGATTGTGAAAGCCTCTTTCATTTTCCCTAACATGACAGTGTAATTTTAAATTCCATGAAAAAAAGAGGACACTATTAGAAAAGATCACCCATAGAGATCCCATAAAGCTGAATGTGAAACATAGGGCCAGCACTGCTGTCATTGCTGAATTTAAACAGGAGAATTTGGGTCTCATGCAAAGTAGGTACATAATGGGAAACTTGACCTTTGCTGCAATGCTGATAAATGAGTCTTCAGTTAAAAAAAAAAAAAATAAAAAAAAAAATTGGTGGCAAAAATGGCAACAGATGGCAGGATTTGAACAAGCTTATTTGTCTAATTGTGTAAAAGTCACCATGACACAAACTGCCTGGAAAATGACTCCTGAAAGATTTATCCACATAGAAGGTGTTATGTACATATGCTCCTCACTAGGTGCAAGTCAGTTGTGCACTTATGTGTGTGTATGCATAGGACTTCCCCAAGTGTCATTTTAAACTAAATATTTGGAGTTCTTCCTTAAACCAGACCAGAAAATATTTTTATAAGGTTGAATGTTTCTCTTAGACTTGTGGTAAAGCAATCATTCTCTAGCATGAGTCACAACTAACTGTGTGACAATTGCTTCATAATATATTACCAGAATAGTTTGATGGCAGTGAACAAGGCTTAGTCATGTCTGTCTTCCTCTTCTGTGTCACTTCTGGGCTGTCTTGCCCTTACTGCTCAAGTGGGGCATTGTGTGTAATGCTTCAACATATTCCAGGGTTAATTTGAATGTGGAATGGGTGAATGCCTGACATTCTCCAAACCTGACTCCATTGTGAAGTTTTGCTGCAGGTTTAATTCTGGGCACCTCTGTTGGAATGGATAGTTCTGAGAAATTTTGGCAAAAATGACTCACCACTGGTAAGTATCAGTGTCACCAGTGCAGCTAATGGAAAAAGGTGTCTTGTTCTTGACTCTGCTGCATTTTTTACAGCAGTATCTTGCTGGATGACATTAGAGATGTTTGTTTACAGACTTGTCTTTGAGGATCCAAAGAGAGAAGCCAAGAAAATTGCTGGTCCTTCTTAAGTAGCTGTTGTCTTTGGACAAAAATTAAATGCATCTTGCCATATGAAGCTTGGGACACTTCCCAAGTGTTATTCAGGAGCGTGCAGGTGCATGCTGAGGCTTTGAAATTCCCACACATAACAATGCCAACCTGACAATCATCCCTTGAAGCAGTATCAGCTCAAACAGGCTGTGCTCAGCCTTGCCTCTCATGTTGTGCTCTGGAAACAAACTGCTGCTGCATGCAGACGTGCTCCAGATTCAGTGAAGCTGAAATGGTGGGGCTGGGATTTGTGCAGTGGATTCCAAATATGCCCAGCTACCTCTGTGATTTCTTATTGGGGGTAGGAATAGAATATCCTTCATCTCAGTGTCACCAGCTTGCATCAAGAAAACAACCATGGTTAATAGAAACAACATCAGAAAATAAAGTTTCCTTTTCATCTGTTCATTCCTGTTGATGTGGTACCAGTTGAGTTGGCCTGACAAAATAATTTGTACTCTTGTACAAAGACACTAAAAACAACCATGTCAAAAACAATGCAGATGTTTTATATACATTAAACTGATTTTCTAATTCATTTTTTTAGCACTATGTCTCCCTCCATGCATTTACAAGTTTATAGGTGCCTTAAAATATATAATGCTATTTACACAAGGTTTTTTCCTTTGTACTTTATCTGGGTGTATATAAGCAGATAATTGTACATGGATTTGTCATAGGTGTGCTCTTGCTGTCAGTCATGGTGCTGCCTAAAGAGGAAAAGTAGTGCAAAGAAATGGGATTAAGTTCATGTACAGTGCATGCAGTCCATGTGTGCATCTCTCCCTTACTCTGTGTATCCCTCTCTCTCAAAAAAGATACTCTTTGATCATCCAAAGAGTGGGTTTTCTCAGTAAGTCGTTCAAATGAGGCAGGGGAGGAACTCAATCACCAGAATTTAGTACCTACAATTTAAAAACTTTAAAAACTCTTTACTTCAATCATTATATAAGATGAGCTGTAAACCAGTAAGCCAAATTGCAGAATCAATTAAGTTGGAAAAGACCTCTGAGATAATTGAGTCCAAATTTTGGCAAATAAAAAACGAACTCCTATCCTCAATTAATTTTCTCTTTTGATGTTGTTCAGTCTGATGTGCTCAAACATTGGTGATTGTTATGGAAGAAAGCATTAGAACCCCATCATGGAAATTCTGAAAAAGTTATGGATGTAAGGAGTTAAGAAAACTTATTTTAATATTTTGATTCCTTTATTTTTGGAGGCATAAGCCCCCATAAACTGACACTTCTGGTATGAGGTCAGCCATGGTAAGTAAATATGGTAGTGGGGGGACTTAAATTATAAAAACCCCAGCAAATCACCATCACTCAATTTGTGCAGATTGCAAGGATGACTTTTTTGGGTGCACAAACATCTCAAGAACATGATTTTGCTTAGATCTCAATGAAATTCACTTAACAGAGCACCCCAATATCAAATTCTTAAATTATCCCCTAATTGAAATATTATTGCTGTCTTCAGTTTCAGACTCTCCAAAAGCAAATAATAGAATGCACACTTAGTTTACACAGTTTGCTTTTGTGTCTGTGTTAATCCCTTTTTCTGCTATAGGCTTTAGACCACTTTGAGGAGTATGGTGGGGGATTCTGTTCTGTTGTCTGTGTGCCCTCACATCTCACCTGCTGTGTCTGCTGTAGGGGGGTCCTTACCTCTGAATGGTAAGTGTGATAATAAATAAATAAAGTAAATAAAATACTGTGAGCGTTTGACCCCCAATATGCTGACCATGAAATGCCAGGGTGTGATTTTAGGAGTTTTCAGTATATCAGGTCTAATGGAGAGCTGCCCCAGATGGAACCAAGTGCAGTGTCCCCAGTGCTGGAAGGAAGCTAAGCACAGGTGAGTGAGGCTGGAAGCAGGTTTGTTTAAGATGTGTGGGACACTTGGGCTGCTCTCAGGACCTGAGCTATTTGTAGCTGCTCACTCAAGGGTGGCCAGAGTTCTAGGACAGGAGGAGCTGTGAGTAGAGGGGAAGGGCAGAAAAGGATCAGGAGTAGAAACATTGAAAAACTTAAAGTGAGAGCTAGGAGTACACTCAGTAATTAGTAGTCAGTAATCCAGTAGTAAAAAAATTCACCTCTTACCTAAGATATCTCAAGAAGAATTAAAAAAAAAATGGACTGACAAAATTATTTTGTCTAATATTTACCTTTAAGCTGGACTGTTTGTTTGAAAACAGGATTTTTGTGTGCAGTCTTTGATTTCCACTTTCCATAAGAAATGAAATATTTCTCTATGAAGAGAAGGATAAAATATGGGAATGAATTCAGAATAAACACCTCTGAAAAAATTCAATTGCCTTGAAATGAAAATGTTGAGATTTTATATGTGGGAAAAAAAAAAAAATCCAAAGGGAAATAAGCAGTCTGAAAATTTACCACAATCTAGTCAAAACTATTGCTTTTACTTAGAAATTTTTCTTGACATGAAAATATTAGTTTACTTGTCTGCTGCCTTGGATTTTTTTGTTCAAGATACTGCATTTCTTCTGGCTTTAAAATGCATCTTTACAAATATTCTTTTAAAACCACTTCTTACCTTGTTTCTACTACTCAGCAGAGAATAGGAGCTGAAGGTAACAAAGCCAAATTAATGCAACTGGCCAGTATTAAGTACCTGTATTAGAAGGATGCTTCTGTCTTCCTTGAGGAACTATAAACCAGATACTACTGTGCCATATACAGCTTGTTATAAACATGCAAATAATTGATCAGTTTTTGTTTAAAGAGTGCTTCTTATCCCAGACAAAATAAACCCTGTAAAGTCTTCACCTTAATTTGTCATTAAAAATGCAACTTCACTGTTGTTACCTTTTGCTGTAAATGAATTAAAATAGATACAGAGGGGGTAGTGGTAGGTAAAGCACAGGTTTGATACAATCAGAAGTGCAGTTTTGCACTGGTATTGCTGGTGTTTTTCAGTCATACAGTGAGCACTTGCTGATCTGGGAATGTACCAAGCCTTTCAGATGCAAATGTGACTGTAAATGTATGAATTTATGTGGATGTGTAGATTAAACTGAAAAGGAACTGGGAGGAGGCAGGAGGAGGAAGCAAAGCCAGGTCTTCGATGTGAATCCAGCTGAAGGATTAAGTCCCTCTGTCTTATCCTTAAAGCCCTCTAAAACTGGCAGAGGTGTGAATACAAACAATGCCCAGCTTTATTCTGGTTGCCTCACAGACCACAGCTGACCCATGACTGCATGTTCCCTCTGCTGTAGTGGTGCTGCAATAAGGTGAGTTGAGATTCTTCTCCCAGTGGAAGTTCACCTGCTGCCTGGAATGAGCTCAGCACTCTGAGCTCTGGTACAGGATCAGACCCTGAAAAAGGCCAAGAGGGCTACAATATCCAATATATCCTTTCCTTGTGTTGGTGACTGCAGCTATAGAGCTTCAGGTGCATCAATCAGAACACCATCACTTCTCAGAGCATTTAATATCATTTAATGCTAAAGATGGCTTAACTTAAATTCCTAGTGGTGATCTTGGCTATGAATCCACCCTCCAGGAATTCCTACCACTGTCAGGATCTGCTCCATCTGCACTAGGAAGTGATCCCTGTGCCTTGTTTTGCCCTGGCTGCTCCTGTCTGTGACCCGTTGAGTGAGGCTGTTGGCTGTGCCTGAGCTAACAGACCCCAGCTGATCTGAGCTGGACTAGCAGAGACATTGCTCTCAATACAAAAGCTGCTCTGCAGTCATGTGAGCAGACCAGCAAGTCTCTGGAAATGTGGAATGGGTGGGGAGCAGCAGCAAGGCAGTGAGGAGGAGCTTGGGCAGACAGGGAAGGGTAATTGGTTTCATGGAACAGTGTAAGTTCCACATTACTTTTCTAATGCAACAGATTTTTCTCTGAACAAAAATGGAAAATGTGATGTCAGATTTGATATGTAAAGTATTTTTCAGTGAAGCTTTCACTACAAGGTATTTTAAAACAATTTTTTTCCCTATTAAAATTTTTGAATCCCAAAAAAAATACTGGATGTTTCTGGGGAAACTCTAATGCCAGTTCTTGTGATGCATAAAAATATCCATATGAGGATCTGAACCTGGAAATAGATTGAAACCAGCGTTGTTTCTTAGGTATTTACATTTGTACAGTGCCAGTCGTGGTGGAATTCTTTGCTGCAAAATACAAACTCTAGAATTTACTGGGGAGTTCAGATTTGGCATTGTGATGGAGTTTGATCCTTGTTCCAGTACGGCCAGTTTAAATATCATATCAAATGGATAAATGACATGTAAAGAAGGGTTCTGTATACAGAATTTGAGTGGAAATTTACAGAGCTGAGACTGGCTCAGTTGGTCAGAGCATGGTGCTGATATGCTGACCCCCAGGGGCTGGGGGGTTGATTCCTGAATGGGCCATTCACTTGAGAGTGGCTTAAGAATTCCTGTGGGTCACTTCCAAATTAATATTCTGTGATTAGAGACAGTAACTAGTGGAATGTCAAGTATTTTATTCTCTGGTTGAGATGAGAAAGTCCTCTCAAGCACAGAAATTGAACTAAAACACCTGGAATATTTTTGGCATGTTAAGTCAGATATAATTGTTACTAAAATAAGCAAGTGCAAATTGTTTGCAGCAATGAAAAGAACTACTCTGTTGGGCAGGAAGTGGCATTTAGTCTTGCTTGTTATTATGATGGAAATATTTGATATTCCTGGTGACTATGAAGATTAAACCAGAGATTTATGTTAATGCAAAGGATTAAAAGAATTTTAATAACACTTATAAAGATGCAAATGTTCGCCTGCATTTTATCTTTTCGCAGATGAACGTGCCATAAGGGAAATATTGAAGGGAGAGAACACATCCTCGCTGCAAATTGCAACATCTGGTTTAATACTGCTCTCACATGGTCATTAAGTATTAGTTGTTTTCACCAGTGTGTTTATGAACAGTGTAAGTGTGATTAGACTTTTTCTCCCTAACTAATTTAAGAATATCAGGAAACAGTGATCAATATCCACCTTCAAACACATAGGGCCTGTGTATGGCATCATGCCTTGCAATTTTCAACAAACTTAGATATTATTCAGTGTATTTTTTCTTGCTATTCTATCAATTTCAGACTTATTTTCTGATCAGTAAAGAACTTGAAATACTGGCTGTGCTTTTTTGCCAGCTGTGTTTCCCTCACACTGTCCCCACAGGCAAACACAGGCCACACCAGCCTGGAAAATTCTGTGCTTTATTTGGGGGCCCTGACATATTATACATATATATACATACATTTAATATGGAGAAATTATAGAAAAAAGTATGATTTGAAAAAGGAGGCAATTAAGGTGAAGGTGTAAACATCTGTTTATATTCTGGTTTGGGTTTTTCCCTGCTCTTCAACCAATTGTTTGCTAACAGGTAAGTATATATAAACAGATGCCACCTGGATTTGTCACACAATTCAACTGATATGAACGTGGAAATATCCAGGCTCTCGAATTAATATAAATCTTCAAAAGGTTTTGAGTAGTTGAACATCAAGTAATCCATATAGTAAAAGTCATAGCTTTGTTGTCTTTGAGAAGGAGAAAGCTGTGCAAAATACTGTTGTGTAATTTTAGTGGTAGTTCTTTCTTCATTGGAGTGACGATCTTTAAACTTGGGGAAAGTTAAATTTTGTGGAGCTCCTATTAAGTGCAAGAAAAAGTTTGCATCTTCTTCCATACTTTCAAATTTCCCAACGAAGTCATAGTCTATTAAACACGGGCTGCAAAGCCTATTGACGTGATCCCAGTGTATATCCATACCCACTGGCCTGTGCACATCCAGGAGATACTGAATGAACTCTTTAAACTTGACTCCAGAGCCTGTCCTTAATGCTTCTTTGGTGGCATTGACCCGGTATCTGGAGATGATGGCTTTCCCAAACACCGGGTGGTAGTAGTTGTTTGGATGTTCAAACTTGTCCCGGAACGCAGATACCAGCTTTTCAAAAGGCTCACGAATGAACAGCATCTTTGTGTAAGTGTTGAGCCTGTGATAAATTCCCTTGTGGTCAAACCCATCCAGCCGTTTCAGGTAGTTCCCGTAGTGCACGGTGTTGTGCTGGATGTCCTTGGTGGAGGAGGCCAGCCCGTTCAGCACCATCAGCACCCGCTTCCAGTTAGAGCAGCCGGCTTTTGGTACTTCACAGTATAAAACTCTGTACTTGTCTTCTACAAATATTCTAGACACATGATAAGGAGTGATTATTCTTCTGTTATTACTCTTGTATTTTGAACAAGTTTCCCTCATAATCCGCTTCCTTTCTCCCTGGATCTGATAGAGACTTTTCCACTTGCTGTTGTTTCTATCCTCGTATTTAAGTGTGGGCAGGTTGAGAATGGAGCTGTTCATGGAGATCAGAATTGGGCTCTTTTTAATTATAAACCTCCTCCTGCGTTTATGGAGCTTGATGGAATTAATTTCTTCACCTTTCTGTTGATCTTTCATAGCAAACATGACGGTGCTCTGCCTTCTGTCGATGCTTTGAAGCTTGGTGGGCACACTTTCAGATGGCTCTAATGAATTGCTCTGCTTAACTGTGGCTGCTCTGTCTGCTGTATTATTTCTTAATCTTCTGTCCTGGTTATTGCTGGAGACACAGTCCTGCTGAGGAAAAACAGATTAAAGATATTAGGAAATGAGATATTGTCACTATTTACAGTTTGCACCACTTCCTGTGGATCTTTTGTAACTTTTAGAACTGTCCAACAAACCGTGTTGTCACAAGGCCTCAGCACTGCACTGTGGTACGGGCTCTCCTCTTGCAACCTCGTTCTGTGCTTGTGTGAAACTCAAAGGCAGAGATGAACCTGATCTAAATTTCCAGTAAATTCTAGTTCCTATTTGGATTTAACTGTATTACTGTATTTTAGGTGGTGTACCCAACCTTGACAGATACTTTTGTCTTAGATTTTGTTGAAATTTCTACAAAAAGATATCTGAGTATTTTGAGGACTTGTTTAATTATTCCAGACTGCCCCTGTTGTCACACAAACAGAAGGGTTTGTTTGTGTGTTTGTTTGTTTGTTTGTGTTGTGTGTTTCCCACCACCACCACCCCAAGTCAGTAATTTATCTTTGCAGTGAGGACAGTTTGGCACAGAGTGAAGCCCAGCAGGGAAGGGAGAGGGGTCTGTAGAGTTTGTAGGGTGGAGTGAGAAGTGTGGGCAGGGGGAAACAGGAAGGATGGCAGTGAAAACACCGAGGTTTGGCACATGAGAAGTGGATTTGGTGAGAGCAGCATGAAGGGAACCCCAAAGGGAGGCTTGAGGCAGGGAGCAGAGCAATTGAGATGAGAAGCAGCAAAAGGTGGGAATGAAGCTGTGGCTGGGATTAGGTCAGCAAAAACTAAGTAAAGCAGGTCTATGGGCAAAGCTTTCTGGGACTTGTCCTTTTCCATTGGGACATCTCCCTGTTTAAAATTTTATATTTAAATTTTTGATTTTCAGTGTTTCCCCAGTAGTATTTAAAACTGGCTTAAAAATAATACACTGTGTGAATTTTAAGGTGTACAATTGGGGATTAGAAGGTAACAGATTAAATCTTATAAATTTTACACGTCTTTGTTTTCTGAAAAAAACAATGCAATAGGTGACAAACTTGTTCTGTCGTGGAGGTTATATCTTGTCACATTCTTGTTAAAGGGTCAGAGAATAAAAAAAGTCTCAGAAGAGTGATTCAGAATTCACTACAAAAAACATTGGTGACAAACAAAAAAATCAAACTGTACTTTGTAGGTGACTTGCTTATACTGATAATTACTATACAAAATTTGATGACAACAGATCACAATTAAACACAAGTTTTAGGACACTTGCTGAATTTAGATTGGATACTCTAGTAGTGAAGGTGGTGTGTGGACTGGGAAACCAACTGATAATTTGTTATGCAAAACACCATTCTGTTGTTAGGAGTGATTGTTGTACTCTTATCTTCAGAGGTTGTTTCTGTAGTCAGAAGCATGTTTGTAAATACCAGATGTATTTCTAAATATTACCCTTCACAAGCCTGGTTGTAATTCAATCCTATTTACTCATGACATGGCTGATATTTAAAGGTTATCAAATTCAGGCTTCCTAGAATTCTGGACCTTTAATGACGCTGCTGATGACCCTGGAGCTGTTGGGAAACTTGAGTGTAACCCTTGATGCAGAAGGTCTGGCTGGGGCTGCAGAGGAGCTGTCAATCCCTCTCAGCGATGTGAGCAGGTGATGGCATCTGGGAACAGCTGGAGCTGCTCCTTCCCACGCTTCTCTCCTGTCCTTTAACTGCGGGCTAAAAACAGCCGCTAGATGGAGGAATTTCACCAGGATTTTTCTTTAGCCGGTTTTTAAGTACCTCTCAAATAATTCATTTGATCAGTGCGATTTCATACAGAGTATTAATATATGCAAAGTTTACAGTATCTTTTAGCAATATCCAGTCTAGGAAAAAACTCATAAAACTGAAGTTGCATAGCTTATCAAATTCCTATTTTAAAAGGAAAATTTGCATTTTCATGGCTAAGCTTTTGATGCATTTTTCCTTTTCAGTGCTTCATCTCCGGTGTAGTGGCCTTATCTGAGTCATCTCTATGTGTACTCCATACTCAGAATATGGGTACAATATTCTTTATGTACTTCTGAAAACTTACTTTTTTTGGTTGCTGGAATCCCATGTTATATTTTATCCCTAAACAAAGAAAGAAAGTAAAGTAATTATTTAGAAATACAAAACATTATTTTCTTTTCTTCTAGACTGATAGACCAAGTGTTAATGCAATGACTAATAGAACAATGGTGAATCATAATTAATGTATATTTCATAGTGACAATAATCCTTGAAAGACCTCTTTATGTATAGATGTCATAAAAATTGTGAAATGGAGTGAAAGACTCTATGACTTTCACCCTTTTACAGATGGGGAAACTGAGATGAACACAAGTGGAACAAAAGTGATTGCTTAACCTCAGTTATAAAAGGCCAGTAGCAGACCAAGAATCATCTGAAGGTTGTGATTCCAGGTTAGAGATCTAAAAAAAAGCAAAAAGCTGTCCTTTGTGTATTTACCCAAAACTATATGACCTCTACCCTTTTTACTTTAGATAGGACTGTGCTTAATCACAGTAGCAGCTTGCAGGGTGTTCTCTGCTGTAAAGGCAACACACAGTGGTAACTGAGGTCATAGTCACACACTTTTGGAGAGGCAAATAATACAGAATCCTATTTTCTCTAATCTTCTGACTTCTACAGTGATATTTACCTGAAAATAGAATAAGAAAGGTGTGAAAATCCTAGATGGCAGCTTTGGCTGATGTATAGGGGTTCTTTCATGTCCATAACCTTTGTTAGGTATAACTTAATAGTGCAGGAATGGATAATGGAAACACTACTGAATTATGACATTTGTTTGGGGCTTTTCTACTGCTAGAACTGTTGTTATCACCGTCAATGTTGCTTGAATAACTCAGTTTAATAAGTCTGCATGATGAATCCACAGCCTTTTGGACAAGAACAATTACAGCTAAAGGTCTTGCACAGCATTAAGTGAAAGCTCAGTCCCATCAGGTTGATTTTCACAGTACCAAGAAAGCTCTCAGAAACACCTTGCATGATAGTTCACATTGTGACTTACTGCAGTTAAGGCAGCAAGTCCAGCTTAGATGATGAGTCATGCTTTATTTTTGAAATCAGATCTGCAAACTGATAAATATTCACAGCAGAGTCTAAATAAAATTGCTCTGGTTATTTCTATGCTCCAAGAGCTCCTCTTTTGGCTTATGTTTGAGCTTTAACTCTACTTCTGCAGATTGCTAGCAATGAACTCAAGGTTGTGTGGAATATTGTGATTCTGTGCCTATTAAGAGTAAAAAGCATATTATTTCTACTTCATCAGAAATGAGTTCTAGACACCTTACAGAAGGAGTCTTAAGCCTTCTCCTAAATGCTTCTCAAAAATGTTTTGCTACAAATTAGTCAGGAGGTATCTACTAAAGAGAAATAGAGCTTGTCTGTAGCATTTCTGTGTGGTTTCTGGAGACCTGAGGCTGATTCTTCTGCACCTTTAGGCTTTAGGAGATGTTCCTGAGCTGGTGTCCAGTTCCTGATGTGATCAGTTAAAGAACCACATTTATTCTACTGCTGTGTAACGTGTTACAGATCAAGGCAGGGCAGGAACCTGCTGTCCAAAAATCCCAGCAAAACCTGAGCACCAGAACTCTGAAAC